CCTTTCCCTTTCCCTTTCCCTTTTCTTTTCCTTTTCCCTCTCCCTTTCCCTTTTCCCTTTCCCCTCTTCCCTTCCCCTTTCCCCTTTTCATTTTCCCTTTTCCCTTTCCTTTCTCTTTTCATCTATTCATAGTTCTGGCAATTATGCTTTCTGATGAGTCTGGTTTTCTCCAAAAGTCACTAGAATCACTAAATATGCTTATACATATGCTAGACATACAGCTCTCAAACAGTCTGACCTAAACAGCAATTTAAATGAAATCTAATTTAATTATGCTACTTTATGCCAGAACTTCCCACAAAGAGAATGCAAAGATAAGGGCACTGTACTTGAAATAATGCAAGATTCATAGATTAGTCACATATTTAACTTCCTCTTACAACACTCTCTTTAATAATTTACAGTTTTGAACTAGAACAACATAAAGGACATGATTGATTGGTGTGCATTAAGCATCATCAGCTGCTGACACATTTTCAGAGTAAATGAATATTTTCTTGTGGGAATAACCTGTGCTGTCTTCAATTATATGTCTCTTACCAAATACCAGCACATTAGAGAAGTGTTTTAAGCATAACCTTTTGATATGCAGCCATAGGGCAGATGTATTTACTGACAAGCAAGAGAACACAGTGGTCTTTAGTTTAAATAATAGAGTTTTCACATGAAGACCCATTCCCATATCAAGCAGTAGATTAAACTGATGTTTCTATTTGGTATCTTTAACCTTTCTTTCCTTAGTGAAGAGATTTTTAGGAGTGCTTATGGTATATGTAAGAAATCCATCTTGCTTTGATGAGGCTTTTTTTTCTTGGTGATCTCAATCCAATTTAAAGTTCCCCAAATTAACAGTTAAATCCTACCTAGCTGTAGATAATTCTAGCAGCACATTGATAACAAAGGTATATGTTATATGTTATAAGGTATGTGTCCTCTTAATTCTTCCACAAGGAAACTAAAATAATTAAGAGCAAGAAAAATGTTTTCCCAGTATCTTGTAATAGTAGTTAATTAAAAATTAGCTTTGAAAACACTAGAGAAGTCATTCAAAGTCAAAAAGCCTTAGAGCCAGATTCTTGGTCTTTCATGAATCACCTTTGTGTCACAAACTGTCTGGATGCCATGGTGGACTCCCACACTGTAGAAAAAAACTTTCAGCACCTCATGGCTGGCATCAGCTGTCCTGTGCCACATATCCTTTCTCTATACCTCCCTTTAACACAGAAACATTCTAGACAGGTTCATCTGAACGTGCTGAACACACTGTGTACTACCCATCATTGCAAACCTAAATTATTAATCACTACAATCAGATCCAAGAAAAAGAAAAAAACTACGATGATGGGGAATTGAAATATCTCATCCACAGTCAGGTATTAAGAGAGTATTTGGTGATGACAGACTGTTGTAAAGCAAAGGAGTTGGAAGTGGAAAAAAAGAGAGTGTTATGGAGACTGTCCTGCAAATACACCTCTCAGTAGTTGTGTCAGTGGAGGGAACAGCTCCCTGAAATGCCTGAAGGGACTGTGTTGCAAGTGGAGAGAGGATGGTGGCATTCTGTGCCTTCAATACCTCACTGGTGAAGTTCTCCAGAAAACAGCAGGTGCTTTTTCATCTGAGCCTTTGAATCTAAAACTACCTGCCTAAGGTATGACATGCAAAGAGCTTCCATAATTTCTTAGGTATCTTTGGTGCCTGCTCCAGAAGACGATGGCTGCCACGGTCATAGAAAGAGTATACAGAAGTTACCTAAAGATCTTCCTACAAGGATCCTCCAGACAGCTCTAAAGAAGCACTAGGTTGCCAAGGCAGGAGGAAACTGTTTTATGACAGACCACATAGTAGCCCAGTACTTTTATTCAGCAGGTATTCTAAAGCACTAAGATGTGCCTTGTGACATTGGTCATGTAAGTTCTGAATTGGTTTGGACCTCAGACATAGATGAACTCTTCCAGAAATAATGCACTTAGAGTTTCTAGCTTAAAGGAGATAAAATTTTTCTGGCTCTGTGTTGCAGATAGTTTCCTTTCCTTTTTATAGGTAATTGAGATTAAAAAAAAAAATCTATGTGAAAAGCATAAGTTGATAGTAATTCTAGTGAGCCTTTAAACATGTTTTTTAAACTTAATATTCTGCCCAGAACTGCATTCATTTACTCCTCGGAAGGTTTGGAACATTATTAATATTTAATAGGAATGTTTCTGTAATTTTTTCCAAAATCTGGAGCATGAAAATGTTTTAAAATAACTAATTTCAATTATAGGTGAAAAATATCAATTAAGAAAAAAAGCCCAACAAAACATACTAGAGACATCAGAGCACACGATGGAAAATTGTGCAAGTCTTCCAAATATTTGACTATTGTAGGCTATTAGCCTGTGTGCAATATTTAGAAGTACTATACAATATTTAATAATGCAATATTTAAAGTACTATGACCACTAAAACCTTGTAATTCTGTAATTTAATATTTAAAATCTAATTCCTACTAAAAAAGATTCAAAAGACAGGATCACCTAACCAGAAGCTAATAGAATAGTGTAACTTTATTATAACCAGAATTTATGAAAGTGATTATAGTATTTGAAAATATTTCTTGCAGCTCCTGAGACCATTTCTTTTTGTTGTTTTGGCTGAGATTTTTAAAATATCTCTTTTTGTCTTCTGTGTGTGGTACTTTTCATAAAGCATTCCCTCACTCTCATTCATTCCCCTCTGCTGTTCCATTCTACTTGTTTAATTAACAATTATCTGTTCTTACCAGACATTAACTACATGAATGTAAAGGCCCCCAAATGACCTATGTGTCTTGTTTTCTGCCTGTCAAAGATGGAAATTAACTGCCTTGATTAAAATACCAGTCAATAATAGGTAAAATTTTATTCTTCCTTAGGCTTATATTACTTAGTTTGCTTAGAAATAAACATCAGTCAGTGCAAATACAGATGTTATATTTCAGAATTTAAATCTAAGAAGACAGTCATCATATGAGTTCTGTGGTCTTGCAAAATGGACTATGATAACATACCAGCAGAGAATAACTATACCTGAACTGGAAAAGGTTTTCTTGAAGTATATAACAGTACCTAAGGATACATAGTGATTTACAGCTATGGTGATTTACAACTATAAATATTACAAAATATGGAAATAATTTCTTTTCTGCTTAGTTCTTCCATAAGAATAAAAGCTAATAAACAGAAAGACCATGTACGTTGTTGCAATACCTGTTTCAAATAAATCAAATTATTCTAATAAAATATATTTAATATTTAAAGTATGCGATTTTTTTCTAATGTGCTCTCTCTCCTGTCAAAAGGTATTTTAGTTCCTTAACAATCATACAAAAGGATCTATCTTTAGGGCACTTATGAATATATTCTGGTCTGATTACAAAGAGATGCTTATGAATGTGTGGAACAGAAAAGTTTTGACACATTGTTACTGATATTTGGGTTTATTTCTTACATGATCACACTGCATAAATTAAGTCTATTAAAATTTTAATTACTTCCTTATAGTAAGTGAATATAAAATAATATCAACAGGAATGTGCTTATCTATGTTTGAAACTAATAAACTTAACTTTATTCATAGTCACGCATCTGTTATATACTGATATCACTTTAGAAAATCTTCCTTTTTTAAATCATCCCATTAACATAGCATTAGCTATGAATTTAGAATTCTGAATTAGAATTTGAGAACAATCCCAAATATGTGTTTCCTTCCCAGACTGACACAAATCAAATGCATAGGTCCAGAAAAGCGTCTCCTGTCCCAGAGTCAGTCAGTGTTTGGATATTTATC